CAGGTAGGAGAGAGGAGACAAGGAGGCTGAAAACAGAGAAATGAACAGAGCCGATGTGCAACAGTCGAGTCGTGCGTCTGATGTGAACCCCAAAGAAGGAGAAGTTGGTTATTTCGCTGTCTTGCCGTGTGGGTGTTGATTAAAGGAGATTATACATGAGAAACTGCAGCCCACTTCGGTCACAATCAGTCAATCGACATCTTGTGTGAGCACTAACAAAGCGACGCAGTGTGTGATCTTTGGACTGGTAAGGATGGTACCTTCCTGAAGAGGGCACGGGCAAGAGCCTTGAACTCCATTTTCTCTCAGTCGAGATGGTCGATCCATACTGGAGAATATTGTTTCACGGCTGGATGGTCGCAGCTCTTCAAGCTGCCAGCAGCAATAGAAATACATGAAATGAAATGAGCCGGAGAGAGCGACAATATATATATATATATAAACTGCCCAAATACCCACTTCATCCCATAGCTCAGTGTTGAAGATGCTCTGTGTTACATGACTTCAAATATCAGCTCACTCACACCAAAGCCTGTAATTAGTGATCTTTCATCAGGCTTAGGTGTAAAATGCACATAACAAGGACCGCCTCTGTTCACATTGTTAAAAATCACCAAGTCCTGAGGCATATTGGGCAAAGAAAATGACTTAATGCAAGAAGATGTAGTGTAGTAACCACTGCCTACCTACACTCATGGGACTCCTTGGCTTCCCTTTTAGTTCTTATGTAACGCTACGGTCATATCTCACCACTCATTCTTTCATCCGGAGACCTCAGAAAACATCAAATATGCAGCATCCAAAGATCAAAAAACTCCTATTTCTCACCCCTCTGCTTCCTCTCTGTATCTCATCTGCGCCGGTCTAGTGCAGTCACACGGGACCCATCATCGGCTTAAATCAGCCAATTTAGTTCAGATAAGACTTCTACGAAGCATCGAGGAAGAGTGAACTGGGTAAAAAGCTTTCAGAGGTAGATTACAAAAGTGCAGACATCCTAGTTTAGGTAAAAAGTCAGAGCCTGGATAAGTGCTTGTGCTGGATGATACTGTAGCACCATGGCAGCGTGTGTAATCTACCATACAATCTATAAATAGGCTCCGCAACTAGGAATGTATGCAAGACGGTACAGTTTTGAATGATAGACGTACATTTTCTGAGGGGGAACTGGAGGAATAATTGCATTATTTTCAAAAACACATTCAGAGGAAGATGAACGGCCTCCTCAACACCAGAACACTTTCATTGGTCTGCCATTGTACTGGGTTGACGTATTGCTTTGATCCTGTTGGTTTCAAAAAAACATAACAAAAGCTCCGTACTTACTAGAGGCTCCATTAGTGTCATTTAAATAAATGGCACTAATGGAGCCTACATTTCTCACACGTCAACAGCGGGATTTTGAATACATTCTTACAGTAGGCACTGCTTAAAATGTGCAGTCAGCGATTATAATTCCATACACTTCTTGCTAAAATCAGCGAATATCTCCTCGCAGCTTTAAAATCTGTGCGTGCGTTGAAAAAAAACGTCACACGCAGCCCCGGTTCTGGAAATGGGAAACAAACAAAGCCGCACAACCCTATTCCAGCCAATCAGCAACAGTTCATGCTCGTGCGCAGGACAGGGGAAAGGCCATGGATGGAATAAAGAGAGAGGTACGGTACATCTGGAGTTGGGTATTTGTTGAAATACCAACATTCTTCTTCCAGAATCGTTGACTCCAAATTTACAGCCCTAGAAAAACATACTTCAGTGTAATTTCACTAAGTAATCCTAAATGTCTCTTACAGACGAGTTTAATGTCACGCTGTTAATCGTTCTCCAAGGCAGCGACTGCCAATGAGGGATTCTTATACCACAGGGTCTACTTCTCCATTTGCCAGTGGTTACGTGGTGAGAATTTAGAGCAGCTCAACTAATTTGATTTTATAGATGTGATTTAAAAAGCATATATCCATATTTTGAGTCAGCTGAAAACATCTGGACACCACATGCTACGATTCGGAGAAAACTAGGTAGCAAGCGAGCAGAGAAACAGTTAGCTGAAAGTAATGGCTAAATGGTTGAAATACCTATATTTCAATAAAACCTTCTTCCATGAACACATTCCACGCATAACGAGTGGTGTCGGTACAAGAGGCTTTTGTCTGACGAAAAAAAGGTTGAAAAACCACTGCTGTAGGGTAACCAGGTCAGCCAGCCTCTATCGTCATGAAATGCCAAATGAAGCAATCATGTTTGGAAATAAAATACTAGTAAGGCCCAAATATTCACTAAGCTCTGCATTAAGGTTACAGCCTGAACGTTTATAATGGTGGGAGGACGGCCAGCGTACACGGTCCCGTGATCCTTCCAGCTGGACGTCTTAACGTGTTAGCTAACCTGCAGGTATTTGAAAGCCGCTCACAGAGGCTCTCACTCCTTTTCCTCCTTCCTGTCCTCCCCCCCGATGTCCCGCGCCGCCCTTTCCGTAAGAGCATCACTGCCCTCGTCCTGCTGACAGCGGCCGCATCTCCGCATTACTGCCCTCATAAACAATCCAGAGTTGAAAACAATAAGGCTCGGCATTGGCAGTGTTGAGGTAATGTCACTATTGAGCACAGCGGACAGCTTTATGTGCAGCAGAAAGCATCGAAACGAGAAGGTAAGTGGAGGAGTAGTAATGGACAAGACTAACGGGCCTGATTGAACAACGCACTCTGAGGGCCACATAGACCCGTCAGCAGACATTTCATTAATGACATAAATCTGTCAGATTGGGAGGCTAAGTGGCGCCTCGGGTGCTATTAAGTGCTCTTGTATAATTGCATTGACTTCAATGCTGGTTTTCTCGTCAATTCTTTAGACAGAAGCAGTTACTGTGGCTCTCGACAAGCAGGTTGGAATCCAAGAGACGACAACGACACAAGTTCAAGTCTGATCTACATTTCATGAGACAAAAATGAACTGAAAACAATTTACAATAGACAAGCACAAACAATTTGGGATTCAGTTGCTCAAGAACACTTTAATAGGGCAAACAGGACGACCTGCTATACCTCCTGAGCAACATCTGCCCAAAATCTAGATGTAGATCCAGACCCAGTGAGGTGCGTGCACCAACATTTCACCTAAACCTCTCACTGGATTAAAGTCCAAGACGTTTAATTGGATGGTAAAAGAAAGGGTTTTAATTACATTAATGTACAAGGCAATGAAAAATGTGGATTTCTGCAATGCTGTGATTGGTTCTAGCACCAACCAATCAGTTGAAGGGAGACTGATTGGAGAGGCAAGTGACACGAGCAAAAAAATCTCTGAGAGGGCAGCACAATGAATCAAATATTAAAGATGAACACTGTTTTAGCTTCCCGCAATTAAATTAACATGACGAACTGCGATATTGATATTTAAAATGTGTGCTCAGCTCATAGAAAACTCTGTTGCATCAAGCGCTGCCTAAAATAACAGACAGTCACCAGGGGGGCGATCGACATGTTTTGGCTGCCATGCCGCTGTGAAACACTTTCCTGAATGTTGCAGCTGCAGTCCAGAGTATACGTTTTGATGCATTAAATTCAGGTGAAGATGCAACGATTTATTTAATTAGCAGGAATGTAGAACAACCGGAAAGTGAAAGCAGCGGTCTGCTGATTTCATTTTGGGTAAAAAGTTTTGGTACATTTTATTTAGCTTCTAAGAGATGCAGTGTGAATAAGAAACTTTCTTCTTTCTTTGATGCAAAAACGTATTAATTAGCAATGTAGCCTAGAATAACGTGAAGGCGAAAGCAGTGGTACATCTTACTTTGCTTCTAGGAGAAAGCAGTGTGAAGAAGAACTTGTCTTATTCCGATGCAAAGATGTGTACATTAGCAAGAATGTAGCAACGTGTTAGTGAAAGCAGTGTTTGTTATATTTAAATGGGAAAGTGCAAGAAATAATGAATATTCATGATACATAATCGTGATCTCAATATTATAAAAAAAAATAACCGTGCCATGCCTCAACATACATTAAGGGGTTTCCTGGTAGTTGAAGGGTTTAAGGTGTTGACCACGAATTGTGATGACCCCGGGTCCCATCCTGTCAGGGACTTTTGTTGCATGTCACTCCCCATTAATCTCTCCCCAAATTTCCTGTCACTTCCCTACTGTCAACTTCCTAATACTGCCCCCAAAATCAATAAGGAAAAAAAACGTGGCCATCTTGAAATGCAAAGCGATTGTATTTTCTATTTTCAATTGTCTTGGAAACAGAAAGACAGTTGCGCAATCACAATCATAATTTACGTACATGTTTTTGTAATGTATGTAGGCTAATGTATGCAGGAATTGCCGGGACAGAGTTGAACTGTAATACTTGACAAACAAGGAATGAGATTAAAGCAAAAGCTTAATCAGACCTTCCTCATATAAACACTGAACAGAGAACTGAACAGAACCACAACAGAGATGGGAGCGGGCTGAGGCTTAGATGTGTCAAACCGACGACACTCTCACACTGAGAGGACTGCAGGGATCGATCAAAGGGTGCCTTTCTCCCTTTCTGTCCCATGTTCAGATCATTAAAACCTAATTTAGAGCTGGTAACCAAAGGCACACGCGCACAGGGAGGCTGTGCCTGCATGGATGCAAGAAATCTCAAGGATGACAATAGAAAAAAAGCACAGGCGGCGTGAGATAATGAGACCCGATGTCCATTTGAGTTAGAGAGCAAATCGATCAGCCGGGACTGCACCATGACAGTGTGAGAAGAGGCTGAGGGGGGGGGGGGGGGGGGGGGGGGAGGGGGTAAACTAGTGTCACGATCATCACAGGGTGAATGTTACGCTCATCGGGTCATCGGCTTATGTGAGCCTTGACCACTGAGATCTGGATGAAAGGGAAGACACAGGCAAGATTAACCCCATGTGCAAGATCTCTTTGGTTGTGTCAAAGTGTCAGACAGCACATCAAGTGGACTACCAGATGACTGTGTGTGTGTGTGTGTGTGTGTGTGTGTGAGAAGTTTGCTCACCCAGGACTAGAACTTGCACCGCGCTCCTTCCACATCTGCAAGCCTGGAGGTGTTCTGATCCCTGCTGGCCGTCTGCTCTGACTGTGGGTCTGTGCTGGATAAAGTTGCTCCTCCAGTCACTGAGCTTCCTCCTCCTCTTCCTCTTCCTCTTCCAGCAGCAGCAGTGGCAGCTACAGCAGCTGGACTGGACTGCATTCACTCACCTTCCCTCCCTCTCTCCTCCAAGCACTGCTGCTGAATTATCTACCGCTTCCCAAGTGAAGTCTCTGGCTCCCCTCTTCTTTGTGCCAGAAAAGCAGCAGGAGCTCCTCTCACAGCGGGCTCCCAGCTTTGTGTCTCGGAGAAGCGTTGAGGGCTGCCACCGGCAGCGGCAGGCAGCTCCGACTGACGGTGCTCTCGTTATTGGATTGCATGTGTGTGAGTGTCCTGGCATTTGTGTGTGTGGGATGTCCAGCGCAGTGTGTGTCAGAGTGTGTGTTTTGGTTTGAAAGAGGACCCGACTGCTGTGCTGTTCATAGGGGCTGATCTGCGCTGTTGCTGCTCTCTCTCTCTCTCTCTCTCTCTCTCTCTGTCTCTCTCTCTCCCTCTCTCTCTCTCCTACTCGGGCTGTTTTGTGCTGCATTCAAGTCCTGTGGGGGGAAAACGGAAGATGAGTTCCCTACTTAAAAATTCAGCTCACTTAAACTTTCAGGTGGTGGGCATACAATACTCTGCAGGGACACGCTGTATGGGAGTCCATATGGGACCAAATAGATTTAATAAGATATTCTAAAAGAAATATATGAATGAATAGATAGAAATGTATAAATATACCAATTTGGTAATTGTACAATATTATTTAAACAGAATTTTTCAACAGAATTATTACCATTAAACATTTTCTTTTCTGTTTCTATTTGTCTATTTGTATTTTCTATTCGAAAATTAGATTTCTCTTGCTTACTTTTCAGTTATTGACATTAATTTCCGCCTCCTCGCTCGTAACTGATCAGATAACCACTTTTTGGGTAAGCTAGGAAAACCATAACCTAAAAAGTTGTTCAATTACCTAATCTTTGCCTTAACCCTAAAGTGAAGTTCACTTTTACCAGTTTTTTTTTTAAATCTTTTTTTAGCATCTTTGATTTTGCCTGATAATTCCTGTTTCATTATTTCTGAAATTACACCACAATTTATCGGTTTATTTAAATCATTAGTCATTGATTTTGACCACCTGTGAGCAGCACAAATCATTAACACAACAAAGACCTATTAACATCTCATAAAATCGATGTGGAATTTTAGCAAACTGTTGCATTATATACATATAACAGACACAGAGATAACATTAGCTGTGTTTCAGGGGAACACTCTCGATTTTGTCTCTACATCTTCCTGAGGGAAATATCTGGTTATTTAGCTGCTTAAGGCCCCATTTTTTTCCACCAGCAGTTGGTTTTTAGAATTGTTTTACACTGAAGGCAGTTGCCTGCAGTGGTGAGAGAGAACACAAATAGTAAAGTTGTGGGCCCGTAAAAGAAAAAAAACAATGAGCTCCACAGAGCAGAAGGATATGTTGAACCAACTCCCTCCTCAGCCTCCCTGGTCCACTTCAGTTTCCTATATTGCCCAAAATGCCTTTACGCAACAATCAGAGAGAGAGATGTCTCGACATGGGGAGAAATTCAAACCATTGACACTCTACCAGCTGAGCAACAGCTGCTCTTACTACAGTGAAAGTGGATAGAGGCTGGTGAGCTGTGCCAGGTGGTGGAAACCGTTTTAGGCCATTGACGGGTGGATTGTATTTCATTTCATGGTGAGTGGAGGAAGAAGCTCGCCCTATGTGTACGTAAATGTAAAGACGAACACTTCAGAGAAGTCGTTAACCTCCAGCAGTGATGTAGTCAAGACTAAGTCATGACCAGGACCCCAGTGTATCGAGACAGAGACAGGACCAAGACTTTAAGGGGCTTTGATCAAGTCAAGACCAGGCCAGTCCCCTACTGCATACATTCTTTATGATAAAATGTGAAACATGCAGACCAGAGGCACTCCTCAAACTGATCTAAATGATCCACATTCCTACAAAAAACATTATAATGACGCATTGCAGAGGTGAATTTTATGTGTGGGGAATTTTCCTTTGAGCAATGATGTTGATAAATAAAACAGACAATGTAAAGGTAACTTAGTGATGTCCCTGCAGCTTTGTCGACCATTAAATCCTCTTTGTCTGAGACCGAGACAAGACGGATTAAAATAAGCAGTCGATTCCGAGACAAGACCTTCAAAAAGTGGTTTTGAGACTGATCTCAAGTAGTACAACTCTGACCTCCAGGTCATCCGACTGCCGCTTCCCCCACATCATTCCTAACTAAAGTGATAAGAGTCTCTTCAATGAAGACTCTTTAGTGGGCTCAGATGGCGACGAGGATGGGGAAGACTCACACTCTTCCTTTCAGGCATCCTCACACATCTTTTACATTTCACTGCTGCTTTTTTTAAGAGAGCATAAATCAGAGCCCGAGGCGGTGCAGGAGTGTCAAATCCAGGTGAAAATGGAGGCTGTGCCATGCTTCATCCTATTGGCAGCCTGCGTTTCCATCCTCAAAAGACACAATGGAGCTTTCCTGTGCATATGTGGTCTCTGAACGCTACAGTGGCACTCTCCAAGGGAATAATAAAAAAAACGGTTGATTTTTTTTATATTACAGGATCTGAATGTTGCTACTGGTTATTGCATTTTTTAAACCCAAACGGCTGTGCTGCAATAGCCCGTTGTACAATAACCTTCATGAATGTCACCCCCCCCCCCAATCATTTCCAGGTTAAGGCTTTGCTGTGAGGTAGAGGATACTATGTTACTTGGCTGAGTAGCTCTGCAGCAGCTTTACAATAATACCACAGCGCAGTAATCACCTCCGTGCTTCATACTGGAGGGAAGCAGTGAAACCAAGTCCACTCTGGGTTCCAGGTTTTTTTTCTGGCTTAATATTTTCAAGGATTTCTGCAGAAGTATTGGAGTGGGTTTTGATAAATACATTCTACATAAAACATGAGGGCAATGCACCTGCCTACTGTGCAGGTTGAAAAGGCTGTATATCAACTCGAGGGCTCCATAGTCATTTGTCAAATTGAAAGTATTGCTTACCATCGCGTTCTCTGTGTGGCTGTGAGAGGCTGAGCTAACACA